CTGATTCATCTCATCAGGAGACCAGCTATATAAGCAGCGGCTTGACTTCCCTTCAGCGCTGGAGTGTTGACCAGTTTTGGTTAGCAGAACCTGAGCCAAGTCTGACCTTAGAATCTCTGACTACTCTGGAGAGTAACCCTGATTCTAACCAGCCTTTGTCTTCTCTGCTTCATAGGAAACTCTGTCTGGAGTCTGGAGCTCTGGAGGAGCTCATATTTGGAAACCTGCCTGCCTGCTCTGAGGAGCCAAACCTGAAGAACCTCAGCCTGCATCTCCCTGCCAGTTCTCTGGAGAGAACTAGGAGAATAATTCAAGGTCTGAACCTCACTAGCCTGAAGCCAAGCTCTGCCGCTGCGAAGCTCTCTGCTGAACCCTCTGTCTCTGGACCCTACTGGTTCCCTCTCTCACCGCTCAGTCTGAACCTAATCAGGTACAACTCAGTATCAAACACTGTCAAGACGTCACTGCTGCCTGGCTAACCAAACTGTCCCACTCTACAGAGAACTCTGTGAATCCAGTCCCGGACCTGTACCAGAATCAGTGCAAACTAATAACTCTGTGTGTTTATTTAAATAAACTGTTGAAACTTTTAACCTACAATAGGGGACTGAGAGAGTTTTCGGCCAGGAGGGGGCAATAAACTGCCTTTTTTCAAAAATTTTAGGGGCCAAACTAAAGGTCACAGGGGCACGGGCCCGGGGCCAAAAAACAGGGCAAACCCTTGTGACCCTTATGCCCGGGTCACCCGATTTTTAACGCCCACCCTGAGCCCGTGGCGGACCCCCAAACAGGGCAAAGTTTCACAAAAAGGGGCAGGTTAGGGTATCGAATCGGTAGATTCACCGATTGACCACCAGAGGGCGCCGGGACACTTTGTATAACTCAGTATAGGACGATTGGCTGGGGACACCCCGCATTACTGCATATTAGACATTAGTGTGGATCTAACTATGGGACAGCCCGGTAGTTCTTTTCATTGAGACAATCGGGCGCACCGAGACATTGGACATGTCCCTGCATCGAGAAACTATGGACAAGAGGAGGCATTTAGGGTTGAGACATGTCTTGGGATGAAAGAATGTGCCAAACCGGCGCATTTTGAATGGGCCAAACGAAAACTTTGTCTTACCAGGGGCACGGTCACCCAGAGGCACTAACTGATGGACACAGGACTATACCGAAGAACTGGACATGTCTTGGGATGAGAGAACGTACCAACCCGGCGCATTTTGAATGGGCCAAATGAAAACTTTGTCTTACCAGGGGCACGGTCACCCAGAGGCACTAACTGATGGACACAGGACTATTCTGAACAACTGGACATGTCTTAACCCTAACCCAATAGTGACCCCATATGTCCCACCACAACCCTTGTCAAACGCTCCGATAACGCCGTAAAAGTACTTATTACTCACATCTGGCCCACTTGGGTCCCATTTGTCCCAGCTCACCCCTCGTCAAACGCTCTGATAACGCTGTAAAAGTACTTTTTTTCTAAATTTTACAAACTTACCTGGTTAACAGCGACCCAATAACAACAATGAATGGACATCTGGCCAGATTGAAGCACTGGGACAGCCGTCAGCATGTTAAAGCTCATATTTTTAAACTTTAAACCATTTTTTGGATTTTTTTCAAAGTTTTACCACCTTACCAGGGGCAAGGCCACCCAGTGCAGCCCCTCACCCCAGGAACAGGTGTCAACATCAGGGGACAAGACTCAGCAGACCCGGTTCAACACCTCCAGATCCAGGGAGGCCCATGAAGCGGGCCCTGGACCGCCCTGGTTCTCCACAGGCCTCCAGAACCATGGGGCCCGGTTCAGAACCTGTGCACACCCCAGGGACAGGTGTCGACACCAGGGGACAGTGATCGGCAGGGCCTGGGTCCAGAACCAGGCTCCAGAACAAGGGGGGCCCATGAAGCGGGCCCTGGACCGCCCTAGTTCTCCACAGGCCTCCAGAACCATGGGGCCCGGTTCAGAACCAGTGCAAACCCCAGGGACAGGTGTCGACACCAGGGGACAGTGATCGGCAGGGCCTGGGTCCGAACCAGGGGGGCCCATGAAGCGGGCCCTGGACCGCCCTGGTTCTCCACAGGCCTCCAGAACCATGGGGCCCGGTTCAGAACCAGTGCACACCCCAGGGACAGGTGTCGACACCAGGGGACAGTGATCGGCAGGGCCTGGGTCCAGAACCAGGCTCCAGAACCAGGGACCGGGCCCATGGAGATCCTCTCCCCAGAGACAGAGCACCCCGGGCCCACCACAGGCCCATGGACCGGGACCAGGCTCCAGAACCAGGGACCGGGCCCATGGAGATCCTCTCCCCAGAGACAGAGCACCCCGGGCCCGCCACAGGCCCATGGACCGGGACCAGGCTCCAGAACCAGGGACCGGGCCCATGGAGATCCTCTCTCCAAAGACAGAGCACCCCAGGCCCGCCACATGCCCATGGACCGGGACCAGGCTCCAGAACCAGGGACCGGGCCCATGGAGATCCTCTCCCCAGAGACAGAGCACCGCGGGCCCGCCTGCAGACGGGCTGAGCGAACCGTCTAACCACCACACAACCACCTGCAGGGCCCATGGACCGGGCCCAGGCTCCAGAACCAGGGACCGGGCCCATGGAGATCCATTCGGGGGACAAAGCTGAGCAATAAACGGACAGAAAGCCGCACAGCACTTGACCTTTGACCCCTAGAGAACGTCACACAGGGCAATAGGAAAATATACAATATTAATTGGACACAATTCGGCATCACAGGGGACTTTACTCTGCAGGGCCTGGGTCCAGAACCAGGGACCAGGCCAATGGACCGGGCCCATGGTCCAGAACCAGGAACCGGGCCCATGGAGATCCTCTCCCCAGAGACAGAGCACCACAGGCCTGCCTGCAAACGGGCTGAGCACACCGTCTGACCTCCACACAACCACCTGCAGGGCCCATGCTTTTTTAAAATGCTCATTCGGGGGACAGAACTGAGCATTAAACGGACAGAAAGCCACACAGCACTTGACCTTTGACCCCTAGAGAACGCCACACAGGGCCCGTGGAAAATAAACAATATTAATAGGACAGAACTCGACATCACAGGGGACTTTACTCGGCAGGGCCTGGGTCCAGAACCAGGGTCCAGAACCAGGGACCGGGCCCATGGAGATCCTCTCCCCAGAGACAGAGCACTGCGGGCCCGCCATGGGCTGAGCGCACAGTCCGACCTCCACCTGCAGGGCCCCTGCTTTTTTTAAAATATGCTCATTCGGGGGACAGAGCTGAGCATTAAAAGGACAGAAAGCCACAGAGCACTTGACCTTTGACCCCTAGAAAACTTTGTAAAACCACACCGCGTGGTGAAACCCACACATGCGTTTTCCCAATCCTGTGAGATAACCCACTTTCAACTTCAACTTTTAAATAGGAAAGATTTAAAATTCAGCATTTGACTACATTCACACACTGGGATCCACACACTGCGCCTCCAGAACCAGCGGAGCAAGTGGAGCTCCTCTCCCCAGAGACGGAGCATTCTGGGCCCGCATCAACCTCTGTGGAGCAGCCCCTGGTTCTCCAGAACCCACATCATGTCCCACACACCACCCGTTTTGCCCACCTTAGCCCACACTGGCACTCAAAAGCTCGAAAAAACCCAACAATGATCCCCTTTGTCCGACTTGGGACCCCTTTGTTCCACCTCACCCCTCGCCAAACGCTCCGACAACACTGTAAAAGTACTTAATACTCTCATCTGTCCCACTTGGGTCCCCTTTGTCCCACCTCACCCCTCGCAAAACGCTCCGATAACGCCGTAAAAGTACTTATTACACACATCTGGCCCTCTTTGGTCCCCTTTGTCCCACCTCAACCCACCACCGGCACTCAAACTGTTAAAAAACAAAATCCACCCAAAATTCCCACTTCGGACCGACTTCTGGCACGCCAGAAACCAAAGGCAAGACTGCCACCCAGTGGGTCTGCTCTGTATTGCATATGCACTCAAGTGGCCCATTTGGGACCTTCCTGGCACTGTTTAAGGAGTACCGGGGTGGCCCAGTTGCTCTTCCTGCCATTTGGGACCCAAACAGGCCAGTAGTCAATTAGGACAAGTAGGACAATCGGGTCATTTTTCCCCCGGCCCCTAACCTGACTCCGTGGTGTTCTGCATGTGGGTTAAGTCAGTGAGATCCATCATGACAAAAGCCAACATGTCCAGAGAAAAACCTTCCAAAAATGGCAGATAAAGACAAAGAGACAACTTCTTTTAATGCTTCAGAAAATTTATTAGGAAAAAGAAAAAACACAGTTACTCTGCAGAAAAAAAGCTTTGCATAAAACACTCTTTCCAGAACTCTTCCTTTTTGGCTCTTTGGTGCATGACCTCAGAGACAATCAACCTGATTTTCTTTATCTTGTCGCTTCAAACACTTAGCATTGCAGTAAAAGAGGATAGCTTAAGAAAAATAAGACCAATTAGATTTTTTCCACATAATGATTCTTCACTTGTGGTGTTTATTTCCTGACACAGACGAATGGGTATCGATGAGTGCATGGGTAGTCCAAAGAGCATCTGCAAGCTAAATGTGGGGATTAAAAGATTGTTATTAAACCTCCTAGAGAAACTTATTATTCAGAATAACGGTTAGACTTTTTTGTTTTAGATCAATTAAGTATCACAAACACTTTTTTTTCCCTGACTCTTTAAATAGATTACCTGAGTAGTTCATGACAAGACAGTTGTAGCTGGAACTTGTCCTCGGCATGCCTGAGCACCAGGAATTATACCTGAAAGGAGTCCCATCGCTCCAAAACCAGTAACGCTCCTAGAGAAGATTAGAGCACACAACATTTAAAGCATATTATACCACATAGTATGAGGAGAAGAAAGAAGTAATGGGTACATATCTGAAATTAAAAAAAAAACATAGAAGATTGACAAAGAAATAGATTCTTCACAGCTTTATAAACAACAGCAGGCTAAAGATGTCGAATATTAATTGTACATTTATTGCCTAGGTAGTTATTGGTACCTTTCTTAGGTAAAAGAGAAAAATAAACATGTTTAAAGTTGTGCATTAATTTTAGAAAACAATACTAATAATAGGTCCTTAGACATACCTGCTGAGCATCAGAACCTCCGATCCAAGTCATTCTGTATGAACGAGCCCTGCTGTAAATATAGCTTCTTAGCCAATTATATTCAGTTGAGCTTCGTACAGATGCGAGGTTTCCACCTTGGGCGACACAGTATCGCTGAAGTGGTATTAAGACACAAAAAAGAAGTAACTATTAACTGGGAGGAGAGAAGTTTTTTAAATATTCAAATCCTGCTTTGTTTTCCTAAACATTATTTTGGAATTTAAAGTATAAAAATCACTTTGGAATGTGAATTTTGTGATAGAGAGCTTGCTACCTCAGCCTGAGCCCAGGTGTAACTAGCTGCAACATAGAGGTAACAACGAGATCCATATTTTGTCCAACCGCTGGGGCAAGATGTCGCTCTCTTGACCACGTGGCTTTTCTCTGATGGAAACACAGTAAAGAATGTAAAACATTAAAATATCAAGACCTTTTTGCAAAAAAAAAAATGTTTATGTTGCAATTTTTCTGATGCCATTTTTCCACAACCTACCTGATTGGTCTGCATCGCTTTCAGTTTGTTCTGCTTCTGAAAGAATTGCACATATTTCAGGTATTTTATATTCTTCAATTTGATTGGTTACTGTAACTACAGTTAGAGGGAATTCAATTCAAACTAACCCTCTGGAACTGCATCCTCCTCCTCAGAATCATCTTCTAAAGCGGGGAAGAAAACGCTAACATTAATTCACAGTTAAATAAAGTATATGTTTTAAAATAAATATGGGAAAGATAGATTCCATTTACTGACCAGGTTTCCTATGTCATCTTTGACAGCTTTTCTAATTTTAACTCACCTTCTGGAGCAGTTTCCTCATTCTCGGGTTCTGGACAAATAAAAATTAAAGTTAAAAGAACAGTAGAACTCTTAAACATAAATCTTTAAAGTGTGTAAATTAGCACAGATTCATTTCTTTACATATGATGTAAATGGTGTCTTTATTATTTCTTTCTTGATCATGATGATGTATTGCGGGCTCACCTTCAGAAACAACCTTGTCAGTTTCACTTTCATCCTCGGCCGCTGTGGAATTTAAACGGCTTCATTTAAGGTGTATTTTATGTACTCAGCTATTCTATCTGATTTTTATTCCACCCTTTTTTTTAGACCTGAAGTGATTTTATCTAGAGAGACAAGTTACTCAACTAATCACAAATTAGTTCTATTATAACACAGTTTAAGTCAACTTTTATTATATTATTATAAAACTTTCTGTATTTGATTGGATTTTAGTCTTTTATAATGATTTATTGTACACCCACCTTTAGAAACAACCTCTTCTTTCCCAGACTCATTCTTTGCATCTGTGGAGGGAAAATGCGGCATTATTGCAGCCAATCTTTATGCACTCAGCTCGTCTATCTGATTACAGCTGGGAACACGGAAGGAGAGCACTGACGCTTAAATCTGAGCTCCATTATTGGAGAGCTTTTAACCTAAACATGTCACTTTGGCCATGTAGAACTTTTAATATAGAAAACTTACATAGAAGAAAAAAAAAGCACAACATGGAGACTTGTCTAATTACTGTGTACTAGTATCTGCAATTCTTTAAGAATGAACTCAACATTAGTTTGACGCAACTATAATGTAGAGTCATATGTAGTGGACACATTATATGTTTAATATGCCAATCTGTAAAAAGATCCTGGTATTAGATTAAGCATTTTAGAAGCAAATACTCTTAGATAACATTCGGATGTAAATATTGTTTTATATTATTATACTTATGATTCTGTGGAAATGATTTATGTATATCATATGTCAGACATAATATACTTACCAGCTGCAAGGCTGAGGGCCAGCAGGGCACAAAGAAGGAATGACAGAGTAAGCAGCTTCATGATGGAGACAATGCAGGTGGAGAAAAATGTTCACCTCGAAAAAGAAGAAAACAGACATCAAATCGTTTACTGTAAATAAATAATTGTTGGTATAACATAAAATGAAAGAAATTTCAGAGAAGAATTACCTTCTTTCTTTTAGTGTAGTTTCAGACTTTAGCCTCAGCTTTTCTGTCTGGAAGTGGTGATCAGCTCCAAAACCAAACCTTTTTATATTGTTACTACCAGGAACTAGACCCTAAAATGATAGCATTTCGCAAACATACAAAAAAAACTCAAACATATAGAATGTTCCATGTTCATTATAGTGTTACATGTGTGTATCACATAACATGAGTCTGTATGTTGTTTCAGTTTGACATGAGTGTTGATATGTGTGTTCAGGAAGGGAGACAATTGAACTTCACTTTTCCTTCTCAGTTGTCAAAACCATTATTTTAGTTTTTTTTTGTTAATTAAGTCTAATATACGTATTATAATGAGTATTCTTTCAATTGTAGGAGCTGAAATCTCTGAAACAAAAACAACAAATCATTGCCAGGTTTATACATTTATACACTTTAGGTATTCACAACAATCAGCATAAGATAATTAAAGCCAGAGTTTAACTTTACAATATCTTTAACCTTTTCAAGAAGGGACCTGCAGATATTTCACAAGCATCAGGTCCAAGAATA